AGATCATTACATTTTCCTCCGCATTGTGGCTGAGAATTGGCATCCTATATCGTTTCGTTTTTTCTGTGTATTTTATCAACGATGTTGATTCTGGGACTTGGATTTAGTGCACGCTCAGTACTTGTTCCACCTTCATCAGTTTTGACATCAAACAATTTTATTCTGCTTTAATAAACCCTGCTCCTATCAAAGGGAAAGGTTTTAGCGTTTATCATTGTACTTCACTGACACGGGTGAATTTTGTTGCCACTGCTCTTGATTGTGATCGCATAGAGTTTCTTATTATTGCTATATTTGACCTTACCCCAAATCCGTTTGCCTCAAACAGGGAATAATCCAACTTCTTGCCATAGAAAATGGTTGAACTGTCCTGAGGCGATATCTCCGTTTAAGTTGATGCTTCGCTCCGCGAGCTTTCAATCTGTGATAGGTCAAGTGCATTCTGCATTAATTATATTCCTCAACATTTTTACTAGAAGTCAAATGGACCGGGACTAAATAAGGTAATGCTCGCAAACTCATTTCACCTGCTGCTGTTATTGCACTACCATTTGGCGGCCCACATTTTAGCGCGCTTGGTGTTTTGGTTTTCGCATGGCAGTCTGTAGCCTATTGACCCCTTGATCACGATCTCGATCCATCACTTATCTACAGTGACTACTTTTTCTTTGTCTTGAATGAGGTGACTATGTGTGTGATATTCTCCTTTCTGCACAGGTTTCCAGTCACGTGAGGGAGTATGTCATATGTTTGTGTTCATCAATCCATCTTGGAACACACTCACAACCCCATTTCCATTCCCATCATTCTCACTAATCGGTATTGTGTGTCTCTAATTATGGACGCTTTACTTTTGAATGTTGCAGACAGATATGCGTCTTTGTATTTTAAGAACAATTTTTACACAATCCATGTTAATTTATTCCTACTCACATTGCAGCGATTAGTTTTAAGTCATTTAGGTACATGTAATAGTGATGAGTCTTTCCGTCCCTCTGTTTATTGCTATTTTGGCTCCCTTTTATGAATTCTGTACGTCTTCCATGCTATCATTTATTTCTAAACTTCGAAAGGCCATTGCACTGCCTTCCCTTGAATTAAAAGGCGGTCATGTTTGCTGAGTACTACTTACCTTCCATTCTAAAATTAGCTATGCGGCCTCTGTCTACAATGAGTTGATTTCCTTTTAAACAGTTTTGTCTTCATTCATTTTGTCTGTCTACAATTGACTCATATCCAGTTCTCGTTTTCCGAGTCAAACAGATTTAATCACACCAGTGGAGG